CTTTAAATCAGCTTTTGAGTGGATGTCAAGGGTGTGTGTAAGGGCAGATAATATTTAACTCAGGTCTGGAGGAACATGTAAGAGTTAGCAGATGCTTTGAGGGTCAGGAGAGTCTTGCAGAAAAAGAGAAAAGCATGCTGGGGGGATGGGGAGGGGAACTAGCAATAGATTAGAATAGCTGGAGGAATGAGACAGAGAATTTGGCTGGAAAAAATTAGCATACATTTTCCTGTTAAACAATAAGGGATATTAAAGGATTTGCATGTTATATTATCTTCCAATTTTTAGTGAATTGGAAGGAAACTCCAAAGTTGACCTTTGTAGAGAAAAAGAGCCAGTTTTCAGTCATAGAAGTTACTGTCTTAATCATTTTTGTCACTTTTCAAAAGTCTACAAGAATTTATACTTATTCAACAAAATGTTAATTTATACTTCAGGAAAAGGAACAGAGGAATATATATCTTCAAGTGCTCCTCTTTTTCATTTTGGATCTGAGTTCTGCACCAACCAAAAAAATGGAAAAAATTTTCAAAATAGACATCAAATGCTCAACAGAGAGATAGAGAAAGGTCCCTATTTTATCACATTCTGCGGTAACAGCTGAGTGATGTATTATGATTACAACACTTTTTTAATTGGCAGGCTTCTGGGATGCTACGGGAATTGGTGACAAGATGATGGATCGGTTTCTCCATATTGGCTGGTTGATCCAGCAAACCTAAAGCACATATTGACATTTGTCATTCAGCACTGGAGCCCCACGGACTCCTCTGCTGATTAGTCAAACACTTCATCTCCCTCTAATTAATGTTTTAAGAGCAGAGCTTCACAGAGGTGCTCAAGGGAAGAAATTTTTCCAGTATATTGGAGAAAAAGGGTTACATAGTACTAGTTGAATAAGAAGTGAGCATGGGGGAAAAGGAAGAGATCAATGACAATGTTCTAACAGCTTAACCCAGTTGGCCTTGCATGTTAATAGATTATTTATGCATCACTTTGCCAGTGAGAAGAAATTAGTATGATTAGCATTTTCTGTTTATTGGTTGCTCATCACAAATTGGAAAAATGTTTACAAGCATTTTGGTTTATTACCTTGAAAAATCATTGAAATGAAAGGGCAGGATAAGAATTCATCCTCTCATATAAACTCAAAGGATTTTACCCTAAAGAAAAAAGTACAAATTAACAAAAATACATTTCTCACTGTATTGTAAAGAAAAGGGAAACTATTTTATTTCCTGAGAAAAAGTCTTTTAAAATAGGTGGTTAGGAAGGAGCTTTGAAGTTTGACATGAATCTAATCTCATTCTTTAGTTAATAGCCAAAGATTTTCAAAGAGTCCTTATGATGTTCACAGGAATTTTTCACCCCTTCTGTGCTTCCCCCACCCCCATCATTTTGAAGTTTCCTTTACCATACAACTTCAATTATGCCATGTTTTAGAAAAGAGCTGCAAGCTAATCCCATAAGAAAGATAGTGAAACAGAGGTGCTTAGGAAGGAATCCAAGAAGTGTTTACATTTCTTCTTTATGTAGTTTAAGAATTCATAGACATATGTTAGGTCCTATAAATGTTGAGATCTGTTCTTAAGAATAACAAATATACAAAGACCCTTGCTGTTTTTAGCAACCATAGGAGCCAGGACTAAATGCAGGATTCCAGACTAGAAAAAGATTTCTAATTGTCCTATGCTGGTTCTTGGTAAACTGAAGAAAATGTTGACTTTGAAGAAATACTTATTTTTAATCTTAGATCCATTAATTTCCAGTAAGCAACTGTAGGCATAGCTTAGAAAAATGAAATATCCCAAGATGTTGTAATGTTAAAAACAAATCTACCTACCTACTTGCTTGCCTACCATCTTGTTTTTTTTTTTTACTACATTCCCTGAAGTTCACATTTGGAAACAATCCCCAGTGCAACAATGAGAGGTCAGGCTTTTCCGATGTGATTTGGTCACAATGGCCTTGCATGAGTGTTTTAATGCTGCTGTTGTACAGTTGTTACTGCAGAGTAGATTTGTTACAAAAGCCAGTTCACGCCTCTCTATGTTCCCTTCCTCCTTCTCTCTCTTTCTCACACACACACACACACACACACACACACACACACACACACACTCGTATTTGCCTTTCCACCACTGTATAATGTAGCACAAGGTCTTCACCAGATGCCCATCCTTCAATCTTAAATTTCCCAGCCTCTAGAACTTTAAGAAATACATTTTTATTATTTATAAATTACTCAGTCTATAGAATTTTATTATAGCAGAAATAGATTAAAACACAATTTATCCACCAACTTATATCTCTAAAGGACCCCTAAAGGAAATTGTATATAGTGCATATAAATGTCTTTTTAATTTTATCAAATATACATGCACACAGTTTTAAAAATCAGGTAATATTATAAATCTTATAACACAAATCATCAAAATAATACCATTTTCAAGGACAGCTACTTTTAACATAATTTTTCCATTATTTATACCCATATTATTAAATAACAATACCACTATTTTTGATATTCAATTTTAACAATTATTTATTGATTTTGCTACCATAGAGCATTAGAATTTAGGTCTTTTACTTTACCTGCACACATTCACAAACTTCTTTCCTTATCCTACTTAATATGTTGCCATTTTTGGCTAAATCAATATTTAGGGCTTACTTTACTATAACTACAGAAATCTTATGTACAGCAGAGCTACACTGTGTACTATGGTTATATGGTTTTCTTATACACCATTTTGTTTTGGCTGAAGTTATTTATTTTCTGCTCACACACATATAAATTTAGTGTTCTATATACTAGCCTCTGATAATTATGACTCTTCCCTATCTTTAAACACCCATCCTAAAGATTAAATATTAAGTAACTTGTTTCTGGATGGGTGATGTAGCTCAGTAGTAGAGACTTATCCAAAATGGGTCAAAGACTAACATTAATCCTCAGTACTGCAAAGAACAAAAACAAAATCAAAACTCTTTTCTTGATATAGTACCATGCAGGTACAAATGTTTTTAAAAAGTAATGTTGGAAGTTTAAAGACTATCTGGAAATATATCTTTGTATTTAATCGTGTTTCACTGTGTTGGCCTCAAATTCAGTCTTTGGGTGATGTGAGAGCTTTTGCTAAGTCGGACCAAATATTTTCTTTTTTTATTTGTACCAGGGATTGAACTCGGGAGCTTCCGCTTGCGAGGCAGGCAGTGGAACTACTGAGCTAAATCCCCCACCCTTTTTCTTATTGTTTGATATGGAAACTGATGAGATTTTTTTAAGTATTAATATAGGAGTCTATAGAAAATTATGCTCAATACTGTTTTCCAGTGATTCACTTTCTTAAACAATATGACTATATTTAAGTTCATACTATGCAGAAATTCTAGAACTCCCACTGATGATTTACTGTTTGAATGTTGCCAATTTCTTTTTACTGTCTTTGTCATTACTTACACTTGAGTATGAGATAGTAAGTTGAGTTCTGTGACAGTTTGAAGACAGGGAAAAGGCAAAGGACCCAGAACATTTTTCGAAGGAAGCCAAGGACCTTAGCCACAGTTGATATGGAAGGAATCAGAGGTCACAACAAGAAATGCTGTTTTTATCATCCAGATACATGGTCTTTTACCTGTGTCCTTATTGCTTCCATTCCTCATGATTTGGAAGCTTCAGCCTACTGGCCGGTTAAGATTTGCTGAACTTTGAGAAGCACTGTGCTGGATGGATGGTCATTCATGATAAACTTCGTAGAGAACTAAGTACTCTGTCAAGATTAGCTAAAGAAAGTGGTGAGGCTTGAATTGAGGAGAAAAAAAAAATAAAGGAAAGATAGTGGAGCAAAGTGGGAAATCTCCAGGCAAGGGGAAAGTAGATGTGTTTAACCTTGGATAATTTTGGAAAGGTAAGCAGTTCATTACCAGTTTAGAATGTAGGTTTAGGATAAACCTGCTCTGGAAGACATAACTTTCTTAGTATAAACCCTCTACCACCTCTGTAGTACTGGCGATTGGACACAGGGGCTCTACCACTGAGCCATACATCCTCAGGCCACCTTACTTTCTAGTTTTTATTTTTAGACGGGGTCTCACTAAATTCTATAGGCTGGCCTTGAACTTGGGATTCTCTTGCCTCAGCTTGCAGAGCAGCTGGCATTACAGGTGTGAGCCATTATGTCCTATGCCGAGCTAAGATAAATTTTGAAAGTATAAGCAGGGGAGAAATGATGGGTTTGTAGAGGACAACCTTCCTGCTGTGACCTCTGATGACCTTTCCTCTTCATAAGCATCCTTAGCTGCTTCCCCTTACTGGAATAGAGCTTTACCTCTGACCTCAATTAACTTTAATTATCTCTTTAAAGAGCTTATCTCCAAATACTGTTACAGTATGAAGTAATGGATGTTAGAACTTCAGCATATGGGACTGCACAGGGCAGGATCAATTCAATCATTTCCATTTTATAAATCCTTCCATGAAGAAGTTAAATGCCAATGCCAAGATAACAATCCTGAAAGCTAGCAGTCATAAAGTGTCAGGAACTCTCCCAAAGGCTTCACATACATTTCCTCATTTCATCCTCACATAAACCTTTAAAGTCTGGTTTTTGGTTTTTGCTTTGTTTTTTAGTCGCAATTTTATAATTGCTAAAATAGAGGGTTTATTACCTGCCTAACATCAAGGAGCTAGAAGGTGAGTTTTCAAACCCAAGCAGCCTGGCTGGGCCCTGTACTTCCTGATTTTGGTGTACTTCCTTATCTAAGCAGTGAAAGCTGATGGGCTTTGTATACTTCACAAGCAGTTTTGCTATGAATGTTCTCAGCACATGCTGAGCCGCTACTTCAAAGAGTGCTGTCTACAGATTTTCCCTTCATTTAAGTAGAAGTTTGTTTCTGAATGACCTTCAAGATAAACTTGGCTGAGAAGCCCAACTCACTGTGCAGGATATTTTATACCATGCAAAATAAGCGCACTTTGAAAAAAAAAAAAAACCAACTCACTTTGGAGTGGCAATGGGAGAAGATTTGGAGCCTTTTTTCTTCTTTTTTCATCATTAAAGAAAATGAAATATGTGCACGGGAAGATAAGCTCAGAAGCAGATCAAGGATGAATGCCTTTAGAAGGGAGATAACTAGCTACTTCCTCATTCTTGCAGCTCCTTTTGGTCTATGAGTTCAATAATACTCAGAAAAACCACACAGAGTTCATTGAGGTGTGATGTTCAGGTATGTGTCTTGGGAGAAAAGATCTTATAGAATTAATTTGTTGTTTAGAAGTAAAAAAAAAAAATCACTTCCTGTAGGTTAGCTGTTCTATTTCCAGCTTGAAGGGAGAAGCGATTAACATTTCTTTCTGTGCTAGCAAGCTGTGGAATAAGACTCAGGAAATAAACAGAAGAAAATATCAGGCTTCTTGCAGAGAGAAATCAAAATGAAATGGGAGCTAATCACAGTCCAGTAAAGACAATGTAGGCAGTGTTTTGGCCTGAATAAGCAGAAGGTAACTTCACTGAGTTATCCGTCACATTGCTAAAGAAAGCTTTCCATGAAATGCTAAGCTGTGTGAACTTTTTAAATGTATATTTTACATAGAAGCTTATGAATATAGTTTTTGCAACAGTTAATAAAAAAAAGTTTATAATGAAACTTATGAAAATTCCCTTGAACTGCCTTCCACTCTAACCCCAATTTTCTCCACAGAGGACTCTTCCATTACTAAGTTCGTGTACGTTTTTTCAATTATTTTTCCTACGCTTTTACATAAATATACAAATACACTTTTTAAATACTAATATGGCCATAGCTTGCATGTTGCTCCACTACTACTTTTATACTTGATAATTTCTTGTAAGATTTCTGAGAATCATTTTTCTAGCATCTCTTAATTTGGATCAGCTACCCTTTATTCAACATTACCCTATTGCTGAATATTGTGCCATTTCTTATTCAAAACTTATGTTTCTTATTCAAAACTGTACTTTCATGAATACCTAAGTAAAAAAAGTTCTAGAAATGGAATTATAGTGTCAACAATATAGGGCAATCTAAAGTTGGAAATAAGCTGTTTTTTCAAAAGGCTTTTTCTGTTGCCCTTCCTTCTACCATCCCAGCTAACACAGTAGGTAAGAGAATGTGGATATTAAGAACATTGTGGAATATTAGTTAATACAAGGAAAGTATGATCAAAACATACAATATAGTGGATGTATAAATTAAAACAAATTATTACAGTAAAAGACACATTGCCATTAATCACCCTCAAAATATCCCCCTTCATTTTGGACATACTTATCCCATCATTCTTGCTATTTTCTGAAGCAGACTGGAAGTACTCTTTTGTGAAAGTCTTTACAGGGTATAATAAAAAATACAGTAAATGCTGCTGCTGAGTGCCATCCAACAAAAAGCAGGCTTGTAAAAACATTATAGTGTGTCCTCATCTATGTAATTTACTGGATCTGGCACCATAAGACTTTGGCTCTTCCCCAAAGTCAAAATAACCATGAACAGTAAACATTTTAATCCATTCAGAACACTGATGCACCCAGGACAGCACAGCTAGGCACTGAGAAGTATTAATGGCAATGTGTCTTTTACTGTAATTTTTTTAAAGTTTAAATATTCATCATTTTTATCATATCTCCTACTATTGTTGATGTGAGGCAGCCACAACAGTGTTATAAGCACATTTCTATTGAAACTGAATAGATTACAATCCCAATTCACTCTTTGATAGTAATATGATCTTAAATGAGTTATTTAGTCTCTCAGTGACTTCATTTTATCATTTTCAAAATAGAACTAAAATAAACACCCATATTGTAAGGTTAAGAACGTATATGTTTTTAATTGCCTGGTACACCATTTTAATGTATTGTAATTCATGATACTACTATTAACCTATCATATCTTCCTACACACTGATTCACATTGGATATTTTGTCACTTAAAATGTTTTTTACATCTTTATATATAAAAAAAATTTTGTATTTTTTGGTTCGTAAGGTGATAACTTTTTATATATAGTAGTCATTTATAATTTCTTAAGCTGTTTATTGATATTCTTATGTTGTCATCATTATTATGTAAGAGTTTTAAATTATAAACATCAAACCTTTGCATATCTTATATATTGCAAAAAATGTGTTCCTTTTTTTCCATCTTATTTTTCAATTTTATTTGTAATTATTTTAGTTATTCAAAAGTCTATTGTTAGGGGATTTTTGTTTGTTGAGACAAGGTATGTTTATATAGTCCCAGATGCCCTTGAACTTGCTATGTAGGCCAAGGTGGTCTTGATCTTGTGTTTCTACTGCCTTGATCTCCCAAATGCTAAGATTACAGGCATGCATCACTATGTCCTGCTCAAAAGTCTTCAATTTTTTACAAACAAATCTATCATATCATCATTTTTTTATTGCTCTGGAAGATGTAACTTTCTTAGGTCTTTCACAGTTATTTGAGAATATATTTTGTTTTCTTCTAATGATTTTTTTCTTTCATTATTAAAATAACTTCTTAATCCATATAAAATGCAGTTTTACTTACATAATGAGACTTGCAATACAACTTTATTTTTTTCTAAATGTTTAGTTGCCAGAAATTCAATTATTGAATATTCAGCTTTCCTTATTAAATTTCATATGTACGGACTCAAATATACACATATTTCTGGACTTGCTTCTGTTATATTAAATCATTTTCTGTTCATATTGCAGTGCTGCACTGTTTTAATGTCAGTAATTTTGAGATTTTTTTGTAAGACAAAATTTCTGTCCCTAGTTTTTATTTAAAATTTGACATTGAAAACAGATTAATTTCCTAAATCCAAATACAAAGACTTTTGTAACAACCACAGGGTTCTAGTTTGAATAATTTCTGTTATTTTGTTACTATTGTTGAGGACTGTATAAAGTTAGAAGCTAACAGAGCTGTGAAGCACTAGCTATGTCCTACGTCTTTAATACCACAGGAGAGAAAATGAAGGCCCTCTAAAGGTTTAATTGGTTAGTGTTATGAAACAACAAAACATATTTGCTGAATATTTATTACCAACCAAGCGTTGTGGTTGTTATTTACCCCTCATAACAATATTATGAAATGAACATTTGTACCTATTATCTAGAAGAGAAACTTTTGTATAATTATTTACAAGCCAGTCATTTGCCTCAAATCTCATAGTCACAAACCCTGGAGCTCAGAATTCAAATTCAGAACTATATGAGTCTAATCTTTTAAAAGATGATTACTGTGTGTTTATTTTTTCCACTCATATCTAGCACCATGATCCCAGCTATGCCAATTTTCTAAGGACGCATGAGATCTATGATACAAACGAGGCTGCAATTGACAATGCTGGGACTGAGATGGTTTCCTAGTTGTCAGATCATGGCTGCTCTCCTCATCTCACAGTACAAATGATTGCCTATTTAGGCAGGAGTCAGTCTCATGAAAGACTGGAGAGTGAACAATTTATATTTTCTGAAGCACACCCAGTGTGATCAAAATATATTCTGAGTGTCTAAATTTTTTTTTAAAATACAATAAATGACACATTCCCATTAATCTCCCTCAAAATACTCATCCCTCACTTTGAACACACTTATCCCATCATTACTGCGACTTTTTGAAGTAGCTCTGTTACTCTTCCTTTATGAGATGTGATTAAAAATAAAGAGAATGCTTCTGCTGAGTGCCATCCAACAGAAAGGCAGGCTTGTAAAAACATGACAGTGTGCCCTCCTCCACCTTATTCACCAGATCTGGCATCCTGCAACTTGTGGCTCTTCCCTTGAAGTCCAAATATCCATAATAAGTAAACATTTTGAATTGCTTCAGTACATCAAGGAGCAGCACAATTCACAAAAGAAGATTTCCAGTACTGCTTCAGAAAGTGGCCAAAAAGATAGGATAAATGTATTACAAGCAAAGGGGATATATGTCGAAGAAGATTATTGGTAATGTTTCTCTCTCTGTAATAAATTTTTAAAAATTTAAATATTTTCCCTATTGTTCGATCACACCTTGCATATTCTTTGTGCAACTCTGTCCTTCTAATGTGAAAGTACTTAATTGAGTGCATGTATGTGTGCATTTGGGAGACAGAGGGAGAGAGAGGAGAGAGATGTAGCAAGCTAGACTGACTTATTCACTCTTATTTGTGGATTTCCATTAGAGGAGACTTACAACTGTTATTGTAGTGCCTACTTTCTTTTTCTATGATTTCCAGTTTAGTCCATCAGAGTTAAATCCTATCAAAATTTATTGAAGATATACTTTGTACTTTGTTTAACTAAAAGCATATATGAAAAATATAACCTTTTCTCTCAGAGAGTTCAAATTCATTTTTCTATTTTGTATTATTTTCATAGTAAATGTGATTTTTTTATTTTGCAGTTTAGATGTAAGACTTTATTTAGTTGCATTGTCTTGGTCTTTTATTATTGTTGATGTTTTAAATTTTTTTATTACTATGTGTTTGCAATACATGCAGTTTACAATCATCTTGGGAGTAGGTACATGTAGATAATACAATTTGTTTCTTTTTTTGATTCACTTCCCCATAGTTGTAGCTTTCATTCTTTGCATTTGGAATTTTTGTACACCCTTCATGTACACTAAATTATCAGTAAATGAAAATGTGTATCGAATGAATAAAATAACACACTATAATGTGGACACAGGAATTAACTTCTGAGATCACTTACCTTTGCTGTAGTTTTATTCAGGCCTTGTGAATGATGATAAAAAGACTGAATTCTTCTGGTTTCATCCACAATTGAACCTTGTGGTTTGCTTTGATCAAAGTCTTCTTAAAAGTCTTAGTTAATACATATGTATGATCTCTCCAAGGACAATTTTATTTGATTCATGCTGTGACCAGCTCCTATTGCATATGTAACTTCAATAAGTTTCAGAGGATGGCGGGATGGGATGATCTAATGGCTAGAGCAATTATTATGGGCTTCAAGAACTTGCTTACCCTTTCTGACATTCCAGAGAAGCTTTTCTGAGGTCTGTGGGCATAGGCGACAGTCTGTGCCATCCTCAAAGTAGTCAAGATTGGATTCCATGGTGATTCTTTCTGCATCCTGCCTCAAAATCTTAGTAGAGTCTGAAGACAGTTTACCCACAATGCCTTTTACAGATCTTTGCTTTTAATATATCTCTCAAACTAATTCCAAAAACAAATAAAAATAAAAATATATCCATTTCCATTTAGTACC